GCTTTTAATCACAAAAATATCCAGGAGCGCTATGCACCCCCCCTCCCCTTTTCCGGAATGCGCGAAATCATGCGAACGGAGCTCTCTCGCCCTTGTGACGGGCGCCGTTCGGCTGCCACGTCACAATTCATCTTATGTATATGAAATGTATGTGCAGTGGATATACAGAATGTTTTTTTCACATCATGGAGCTTTCATGTATATACATAGAATATCTAATGCTATGTGGGTCTGGACATGGATTACGGAGATATAGCTTCTTAGGGTACATTACAGACAACTAATATCAATGTAACAATCATACAAAACATTGTGCGTTACAAAATGTACTAAAGATATTCAACTGGTGGTCTCAACATCAGAGATAATTGTTCAATTTTTAATATGCAAAAAAGATAATTGTTATTTTTAATATACAAATGTTTCTTCCATCTTCCACCCTTTTACTTTATAATAGTTTAGAGACATTTATTAACATTTACATCGTTTTATCGTTTCGATAGTTATTTTCTTACCGTTTCGGTAGCCGTTCTTTACCGTTTCCTTTTCGTTTTTAATTGTTTGTTACCGTTTATTTACTGCTTTTTTACCATTTTTAACTGTTTTGTTACCCTTTCTTTGCCATTTTTACCATTTCGATAGTCTTTGTTCTTTGTTGTTTCTTTACTGTTTGTTATCGATTCAATAGCCGTTATTTTTACCGTTTTTAAATTAATTAGGCGACTAAAAAATACGTCGCAAACTACGTGAGCGGCGGCGTTCGGTATATAAAATTATATATTGTAATAAAGAAATACTGTTTATTTATATTACTTATTTCCTTTCCCCTATTTCTTAAAACACTGTATAAATACAAAATATCTTAACATTTTTATTCGATGTTTTAAATATTCGCATAGCATCGCGAAGCACAAAGCACAATGTCCTCGATATATAATGTGAAATTACTAATAAGCATATATAGTTTGCAAAATGTCTTTTTAGAGTTGTAAAAAAATCTGAGGGCGTGCGGGCAAGAATCTGCAAATGGTGATGTGATCGGGCGGACGCCGAGAAATAGGCCGTAAACCGCCGCGAAATCCGCCTGAACGCATAGCAAAGTGGAAAGAAGGGATCGCAGAGTCGATAAAATCATAAATAAAAAATTATATCGGTTAAGAAAATTACGCTGATAAAAATTGTAAAAATTGAGTTAATAAAAGTATGTTGATAAACAAAATTACATCGGTAAAATTATAAAAATTATGTTAACAAAAATATGTCAGTAAAATTATGTTAATAAAAAATTATGTTAATGAAAAATACGTCGGTAATAAATTATCGATGTCGGTAACGTCGATATGCCCCCCCCCCCCCT